ATAATGGTTGAAATGAGAAATTTGAGCTAATCGTTGGTCTTTCACTCCAATATCTTGCCCAAAATTATAAATATTATGTTTATAAAGTAGAGATCAGTGTCATGTAGTGGTTAATAATACATTCCCTAAAGCCTAATGGTCTGAGTTCAGAAAGCTGACTCTTCCATGGAACACACTTGTCATCTCGGGCGAGTCACAGTGCTCTCTGCCTCAACGTCCTCACTCATCAGGTGATGATAAGAACTGTATGATGACAAGGCCAAATTGGTTTAATGTAATACTTGGTGCTTTGAACAGTTTAGAGCCATGCATGTTATTTGCTTCTATCATATGTTTTTCAAGGATAACACTGTATGTGTGTTTTATCACAGTCAATTTAGTTTTCCTGCCTGCATCTTTTGTGACTGGAAGTGTGATGGTGGGTGGGGATGGTGGGGACAGGAGGAGGGGATAAAAGACACTGCAAATGATGGTATAAAATATTGTTCCTCTACTTGGGAATCTTTCAATAGCAGCCTCCTAATCACGTGGTTTTCACCTAAATACTCACATACCACTGTGAGGGCTGGGTTGGCACTTGTACATGCAGTGTGTGTAGAGGAAATTCACTGTCTGAAGAGAATGATGCTGGTCTCAAAGATCACTGTCCTCCATAAAGACAGGCCTATATGTTAGCATGATTTTTCTAAATGTTTCCTAACCCCCTGAGGTATTCTTTCTTTTACCATTTCATAAAAACCTGATATGCTAAATTCTATACATCTTGTCTCCTCAAAATTATCTGTTGTTGTTGTTTTGTCCTTTATACTTTTATACAATTTCAGTTCTCATTTCACCTCCCTTAAACTTGTAGTAGCTTTTAAACTGACTTCTCTACCCATTGTTAAGTCCATCCTTCATACGAGGATTTTTCAAGCTTACCACTGCTGGCTTTGAGGCCAAATAATTTTTTGCCTTGGGAGAACTTACCGTGAACTGTAGGACATTTGGCGGCCTCACTAGCCTCTACCCATTAGACGCTAATAGTTCTTCCCCCTGTTGTAAAAACCAAAATGTTCTCTCTATGTTGTCACGTGTCCCTTGAGCAGCAAAATCATCCTCGGTTGAGGACCGCTGCTCAGCAATGCTTCCTGATCGATCTTCCTAGTTCAGAGTGTATCATTCCCTGTTGAAAAACTTCAGCGGCTTTTCATATTATCCTGAAAAAAATGTTCTGACCTTTTCAACTCTGGCCATCACTATGTTTCCTAGTGCATTCCTTATTCTATTACATATTGTCCTTATGATTTAGACTTGCTGATCTATGAGAAAATCTTCCGACAGGTAGGTAGGTAGGTAGGTAGATAGATAGATAGATAGATAGATAGGTAGATAACTAGATGACAGGTAGTTAGATAAGTAGGTAGATGAGGAATTTTCCAAATTTGATAAATGTTCTCAACCAGAATTTTCTCCCAAGTACCCTGTCTCACATCCAGCCTCATCTATCCAGAATTTTTCCTGCTTAAGACATGTTCTTGCTCAAATTCCTTCACATAGTAACTCAGTTTAAATCCCTGCTGGAATTGAGAGGGTCTTTGCTACATAAAGTTTATTTTGTAGTATGGTTTGTAATGAATCCAATTTTATGTTTCTGAGTTGAATTTCAAGAATTTAAATATCCATTTAACATAAAATGTATATCCAAGATTTTTATAGATCATTGCTTTGTTAATTCAATACCCCATTTCTTGTTCATGGAATGTCTAGAATTTTTGGAACTTAAGTGTGTTCCTGAGACTAATTATATATATTCCTGTAAGAACTCTGTTCATGAAAACTTGTGCATGGAGTTATTATACTATTTGCATTGTGTAATATAATATACAAATAATTTGCTTTCCTTAAAGTTAAATTTCATTTTATACTTTTCTCTCTGTCTCTATCTCTATATACAATTTCTTTAAAATTAAATTTCATTTTATACTTTTCTCTCCATTAGAGAAAGAGAGAGAGACTAGTGAGTAGTTTAATATGAAAGCATGACCTTATTTTATAAAAAATAAAACGAATTTCACTTTAAGAATCTTAACTCCTTCAACTAGATGGGATTAGTTATTCCTTACTAGTCAGCAGCCACGTACAGTTCCAAAGTTTGTGAAGTTGAGTTTTTAAATCTTATCGTGCTCTGCTTTAATCTATGAATTTGATTTTGAAAAACCCTATTAAAACAGTGAACAAAAATATCCATGTATATTCAGTGTATTTTTATGATAATTTACAAATTCATTTGAGAGTCACAAGGATGGCTTCATGGGTACGTGGTATGTGACCAGCAGTTGCAAAGGGACCTGCTTTGGGAAGGATCCTGTACTTGGATTAATGCTCTCTGCAGCCATCTTGAAATTCATAACCATTTTATCTTTGAATTTATGTTATGTAAGTGAAGTCCACTGGGACAGTGAAGCATGAACATGAGCATCGGAGCTGTAAGTAGCAGCTGTGCACACACAGGTTCAGGCCTGCGGGCACAGCAGGCGGTACAGAAGCCAAGCAATTGTCCTGGCAGCAAGGCGCACACAGGCACGCCTCAGCAGTCTGGGATGCCATGTATCCCCACTGTGCCCAAGCCAGAACTGGGCCCAGATGAGCAGTGGCAAGGGCAGTAGCAGAAGCAGCGGTAGCAACAGTGGCAACAGTGGGACTTAGGAGTGGCTCCCTGTGCCAGCAGGATAGGACCCATGGTGAGAGCCACCTGCCTATCAGTCCCAGGAGTCCTTCCCTGTAGTATCTACACAAATATCAAATCTCCTGCCTAAGTTCTAAGACAGGACCTGCAGAGCTCGGGCAATAAACTTTATCAACAAAGTTCTTACAAAATAAAGGCATTTGTGTGCCCACTGCAATAAAGCTTATTGCAGAGTTATTAGAATTCTTGAATTTAAAATGTCCAGATTTGAAAACTCCAGCAGTATTGCAAAGTGAATATATCCACCAGCCTAGAAATACAGATTAAATTTAAAGATCATCACATAGGATGGAAAATAACACTATTTTCATACGAAGTTTTAAATGAGCCAAGGAAGACAATTTTTAAATTAAATTTTCCTTGTAATTGAAAATACAGGAATAGAATACATCAACAGACATTATGGATTATATACAAACCATGAAGCTACTTTTGGTTTCTTGCATGACCTTGGCAAGTTACAGGAAATGTCAGAAGAAATACTGAAATATCATTGCATACATTTACATTTAACATTGAACTTCATATAAAAGCAGTATAAAGTTTCTTTGTTGTGATAGAATTGTTCTGTATCTTGATGGTGGTGATGAATACAGGAATCTACACATGTAATAAAATTGCTTAACACTAAATACACACACAAATAAGTACACATACATTAGTGAAATACGAATGAGATCAGTGAATTGTACCTATGTCAATTTCCCATTGTAACATTGTACTACAGCTTGTAAGATGTTAACATTGGGGGAAACTGAGTGAAGAGTACATGAGATATCTATTATTTCTTATCATTTCTGTGTTCATCTATAATTATTTTAAAATAAAAACTGTAATTAAAAAATCATATTCGGGCATACATGAAATATTTATATGATGAGTTAAATCTCTATGGAAAAATTATTTCATGAGAATCATCATCTCCAGATATACTAAAATTTATATATTAAAACAATTTATCAGAAATATATCCTAATGTTGTCACAGCCTATAAAATACTCTTAATAGTTCCAGTAACAGTTGCATCAACAGGAAGATCTTCCTTAAAATTAAAAAATATCATAAATTATTTGTGACCTTGCATTAGAAAAAGCAACTGATGTCACTTTCAGTTTTATCATTGAGATGAAATTGTTAATTGTATAAATTTTGATGACCTAAGGAATAAATCTGCAGAAAATTAAGCCAGAAGAATTCTATGGTCAATACACAATAGTACAGTAAAATTATTGTCATATTATATATAGTTATGACACCAAAATATCATTTTTTTTAAATTAACAAATTTATGTTAGTACTCAACTATCACTATTATTACAATTTTATAAGTAATAAAATATTTTAAAAGAAAAACCTTATATATATATAAAATCTTCAACAATACTTTTTTCCCTATGTTTTGAACTAAAAGGCCTCAAATTTTTGTTTTGCCCTGGGTCTCATAAATTATGTAAATCTTGGACTAGGGAGTTTGATACAAATTGATTAAAAAACTCCTTAAATGTTATCACAGTATATAATATATATTGAACAGCTTATTTTTGTAGAATTGAGCTTAGAGTAAAGTTTTGAAATGACATCAGAATTGCATCTGATAACTAATGTCAGAAGTCAGCTTTTTTTTCACAGGGTCTGCCAAGATATTATTTTGCTTATTTTATTTTATTACTGTATAGAAAGCCAACAAAATTCATCCGTCATCAACCCTGACATTTGAATTCCAATATACATTGCTCAGAGAAGACTTCAAAGAAGTCTTTTCATTTATCAGACCCGTATTTCCAAATTGTGTTTGTTTATTTTTCATTTAAGACATACAGGATTAAGAAGTACCCAAATACACCATTTAGATTTTTTAAATTTAAACATCATAGTTTTGATAAAAAAATTCCTATAGTTAAGCCTAGCTGCTTCACACCCATCTGCAGCATTTCTCAGCTTGCAAATACGTTACTAGAGAAGGGCCAGATTTCCTGGAAACACTAAAATGAGCCCATCAGCATTCACTCTTGGCATTTTTATATGATACTCATGCCATTGTCCCAAAAGGAACTTTTAGTTTTAAAAACAGCACACCTAAAACTGAGTAGGATTGCATATTGTAACAGTAGACGCTTTCTATTTCATCTTGCAGTACAGTCATTTGATTGTTGGCTGGGGAGAAGTACCTGTGTAAATGCTCCAGGACAAGAATGTTACAATGCTTCTGTGTACAGGTGACACTCACTTTTTCTTGCACCATCTCAATGCTCCTTTTTCTCTTCTGTTGCAGAATGATTCGTGGGGAAAGCAGTATTCGTATGCACTCTTCAAAGCGATGAGCCACATGCTGTGCATTGGGTATGGAGCCCAGGCCCCGGTGAGCATGTCTGATCTCTGGATCACCATGCTGAGCATGATAGTGGGGGCCACCTGCTACGCCATGTTCGTCGGCCATGCCACCGCTCTAATCCAGTCTCTGGATTCCTCAAGGCGGCAATATCAAGAGAAGGTAATTGTTTTCTGTCTAATGTGTTCAACACAGCTACTTTGCCAATTTAATTAATAGTGTTCAGAGAAGTAAATTGTGCCCTCTATCAAAACTATAATGAGCTAAAGTGTTTATAGGGGGAAAACACAATCTGTTCCCTAATTTGAAGTTTCATCAAGATGTACCTTTTATTTCCAATGTCTCTCTTAAATAAGAATTTTAAAAAATCTGAATTTGCATTCACAGAAAAATGTTACATGTTTCAGAATACATGATGTTACATAAACGTATTATCATGGTTTATGTTCTATCATTTTTCAACAGTAGAAAGAATATAAAGACTTCTCCAGTAGGTGTGAGAAAAATATGTTAGCTGATTAAATCCGGACAGGCAGTCACTGCACATCTCTCTGTGCCTCTATGTGTGGTGCCATAGTAATTTATATTACAGTCCATATGCATAGTGGAACATATGTTGCCCTTATATCTAGATAAGTCACCACCCCCTCCAGTCTTTAACAGCTACTATCATGCATTCTTACACACAATGTGTTAATTAAAATGATTGCTGCTCTAAACTTTTCTCAGAAAAAAGACAAAGAGTACATTTGTGCAATAATTTATTTATTAGATTTTTTTTTGATGCTGAATTACTGTAGTTGGGACTAGACCTTGGATAATACGACAGTACTTAAATTATTGACCAAACATCAGTAACTTTCTGACAGATAAATAAGAATATTTTATAACTGAAGGAAGAATTTATAATGTGGGAGCTCTGTTGAGCATGGCAGAATATATAATATGCACCTTGCAAAAGAGCAGATCTGAAATAATGGTTAAAATAGTTCTAGAATATTTCCCCTAGTGAGTGATAACAGTTTAGACTCATAATTACTTGCAAAACAGGCAAAGATCCTTTCATTTGTGACTTTATTTACTGAAGTTTTCAATACTTTAATCACACAATAGGAAAAGGGAGCCCAAATTCTTTATTTTTCATGAATGTAATTACACTGGCACTGACTATTACAGTGAGTCAGCTGATATTTTATTACTGAAGTAATGAAAAGATGAACCACCAAAATTGCTTTGAGGTTCATTTTAAAATAAAGCCTCCCATTAAACTGGAAAGAACAAAGGACATAATAAGGAAGAAGAAACTTCATACAGTCATTATTTTGACTAAAAATTGTATGCTCAATAGAATTTGGGCAAATTTATGGGGATTTAAGATAAGATTACAACATGGTACGTGTTTCTGTTACACAGTTTCTTTGTCCCTTTAGTAGATACTGCTTTTCATAAAAATGCTCTTTTCCCCTTTCCTATGCTTACATCGTTGCTGTATATTTTCTTAAAAGTGAACAATCTTTAATTTCCAGGATTGCATTTATTATATTGCAGATTAAGTCAGTTCACCATTTTTATGTTTTTAGACCTGCCCTGTAAGACACATTTAACTTGGGAACCCAATTTATTCAACTATGTAGTCATAAAATATTTATATGCAAAGATATTATGATGTTTGCCATAAGTCAAGTCATCAACTTCTTGATCTTACAAGTGTTTAATAGAGGACAAGGATACTAGGGTAACTTTTTGTTACTTTCTGACATTTGGAGCAAATTAATCAGGAACTACTTATCAAAAGTATATAATTTTTTTTTTTGTCTCCAAATCCAGATCTATCAAGAAGTTACATTCTAGAATACTGTTCTCATTTTCTAGTCAGCATAATTCAGGTCTTAAAAACATTTTTACTTTAAAAAATTTTTACTTTTATGAACAATATATGTCTTCTTTTCAATCTTATATTTTATAGTGTATGATTGATTTACAGCTTCTTTTCTGATTCAGCCACTTTGGATTTTTTTTTTTTTAGATAAAATGCTCCTAATATAAAATTCACCATTAACTAGTGAATTTTAAAGTGTACAGCTCAATGACATTTAGTCCATTCACAGTGTTAAGCTACCAACACTATCTAGCTCTAAGACATTTGCATTCTTTAAGCATTTCACAGTCACTCCCCATTTTCCCCTCCCCCAACTCCAAGGCAACTACTGGTCTGCTTCCTTTCTTTTTTTTTATTTTTATTTTTTTATTTTTTTTTTTACATTTTTTTATTGATTCATAATCATTTTACAGTGTTGTGTCAAATTCCAGTGTTCAGCATGTTCAGCACAATTTTTCAGTCATTCATGGTGCTTCCTTTCTATTGATTTCCGTATCCTGTATGTTTCATATGAATGCAGTCATATAATACGTGACCTTTTTGAGGCTCATCAGGTTTGTATCATGTTTTAGAGCTTCATTCCTTTTTGTGTCTGATTAATATTCCATCATGTGGATATAACATACTTTATTTAGCCATTTATCACTTGACAGACTTAGTTGTTTCCACCTTTGGCTATTGTGAATAGTGCTGCTATTAACATTTGTGTACAAGTATTTGTTTGAGTACCTGTTTTCATTTCTTTTAGGTTTATACCGAGGAGTGAAATTGCTGGGTCATAGAATAATTCTAGGTTTAACTTTGAGCAACTGATGAATTATTTTTCAGTTAATATTTGTCTTTAGGTGTATTGGAACCATCTGCCAGGGATGTCTGCAAAATTAATATTGATGTCATTTTCACTGCCGTGTACCCAGTAATAACATATTTTTGATGTAAGCGAAAAAACTCTACCCAATAGCTTTTATAGCAGCCATTCAGAATGTGCTGGGTGGTTCAAGCACCTAATCTAGCTCCAGAATTCACTCCTAGACATGAGACTCTACTGTCTCTCCATCACTTATCATACTCTTCGGCTCCGCTGAACATATTGATCATGTCTAGTCTGCTGCAGGTCTCCTAGCTCACTATTTTAGTTTGGAATCTTGAGAGTCATTTAATTCTTCCTTCTAAGGGAACATCTCTTCATTGTGGATCCCCCAAGGTTTAAGTAGTTCTGTCATCCCAAGCAGTAGAATAAGGTCCTCTGATTATGAGAGCTTTATCTGCACAGTATACTAATGCTAACAATCTGATAAGGTTATCGTGTCAGCCATCCTCATTGCCATTATTATTATTTTCTCTCTTAGCCAAAAAAATGTGTCCTGATCTTTACATTGTCACAGTGCAGATTAAACTTTGACTTGAAATACATTGTATGCTGCTGATTTCATGAGCTATCATGTTTTGTATTCTCTTACATTTCAGACAGCTGCATTTTCCCCGTCTTTTAAATATGGACTTTGGTGTAAGATGGGTGGTATTTAAAATGAGCCTTTCCCAGTGCTTTGCTGTGGATTACCAGCAAGCTGCAGAGTTTCTACTACTTGCCATTGAACAAGCTGAACTTCAGAAATATCCAAACACCATGTTTGGTTTTGGTTTTGTTTTTTTCTCTAATTGGTGTTTTAACTTAATTTAGTGAAGTTCATCTTTTCTGGGCAAATTAAATCTCTCCCCACCCCCCACCTAGGACTTTTGGGGGCTGGAAGAACCAGGAGTGAGGAAGGTAGGTGTGCTCTGTAGGCTCTCCTCTCTCTTCTATGGTGAGCCCACCAGGAGCTGTTCTTCGTCTTCTCATCAAGGTAGAGTAGCCCTGGGGAGGACAGGGGAGGGAAGAGGCAGTTTGAATGTGCCTACTAGAGCTGTTAAACGAGTGTCCCTGGGTGGGTCTGGCAGTTGATTAAAGCTGGCACTTTATTTGAGAGATTCTTTTGGGCATTTTCATTGAGCCCCACTGAGTCCCTCTCCTGTATTTCCTGAGATGAGACCCTGAGAATCAAGCAGTCATCTCCAGCCTCTTTCTGCTGAGGGCTCCTTGCTCTGCCAAGAGGCATTCTTGCACAGGACCTAAGATGTAATGCTGGCCCTCCCATATGGTTCGGTTTGGTCCACAGAGAAGCATGCATGTGTCTTTCCCTTAGCCCATCTCTCTGCACTCTGCTGCCTCCTCCACTAAAGCAAGTGAGGAGCCTGTGTCTGGACTCCTTCGATTCCTTGACAGAAGTCAGAACCCCATGTCCACAGGCTATTTACATGTTTTCAGATGTGATTCAGGCCCCAGACTCATGTCTCCCAACTATGAAAACTTGTTTCAAAGATCCCCAAATGGTTTTCTTGGAGTTCCCCTGACAGGTTAAGTGTTAGAAGGTGGCCTTCCTATACCCCTGACCCACAGTGGGTTAGGAAAGGGACTTACAGAAGAGCAGTCATTTTCTTCAATCTGTTCACTATTGTCTTCAGAAAAACTCTCACTCTATCCTCTGACTTCTGTAGAGCTTCGATGAGACTGAGACTCCAGGAGTCTTGATCCTTGGATCCCAGTTTACTATAGTAAACCCGTGTAGGAGAGAGCCTCTTCCACAAGCAGTATTCTGATAGCTCAGATTAGGAGCTCCGTGAACATGAGGAGGGAAGGGTGAGTCCCAATCTAGCAACATTTTAGACCTTTCTTTATCTCAACTCTTCTCTAACCGTCTTCCACAGATAATGTAAATAAATCACAAATATATACATACATATATAAGGTTTACTATTGAATTACATAAGTGATTATTTCCTGGTCAAATCAGTTTGGAAATGTTGATTGAAGCAATGAACTGAAGTGGAGTTTTTTGCTGTAAATGTGTGTACCCTAGACATTTAAAATTTTGTCTCTGCCCTCCATACCAAACCTCTATGTATTTTAAGTAACTGATGTACACTTTGGAACATACCTATCTAGACAAACTCCCCACAGTGACTATTCCTTTTTTTTTAAACTGACCTTGGGTAGTTATTACCTTCTCTAGACATATCCACAGCACATTTAGTCTTTATGAAATGAAACTGCTTTGAATCACTGTGTGTCTTTATACTATTGTGTCTTAGTTCTTACATTTGGACACCCCTGGGAAGCCTACTATTATTTCTTGACTTGTCACTCTCTTTCCTGTCAAATAATTATAGTAATAGCAGCTCTTAGGTGTGCAGTTTTCCCTCTGTAATAGGCAATAATTTTAACACAATACACATTATGAATTTA